ACTTCAGGTCAAGGAAACAATCAATACCGATACAAATCACGTTCAAAGTCACCGAGAGAGATGACTTATAAGCTCGTGGAGAAATCTAAAAGCTCATTTCAAATTGAAGTATGCGCTGAAGGTGTTGCCCAGCCTCGGAAATAAACCATTCAGCTCAGAGAACACAACTACATAGAAGTCATCAAGAGAAAGTAAATACAGGTGCAAAGTCTTTTTTGAAGTAATTTTCATCCTGAATGAACTGCAGTTAGCAGACTATTGACAGTCAGTCATTATTGTACGGATTTATTCTTCTAATTTGGAATTTTCCGAAACCCAGATAAAAGAAAGTCCTGTATTAGATTGTGAAAGAGGCTTGAAGTGAACACTGATGAACCAAAGAGGGCTGTCCCAAAATAATCTAATAGCCTAAAATGGTTATTTAGATAATATCGATTTACAATGATAAAACCCTTTGGTTCTTATAAACCCCTCGTTTAAATAGGTGTGATCGTATTCGAGTTGTTAGTTTCAACTACAAATAATCAGATAAATGACTTCAAACCTAGTGCATGTATTTACGTACTACAGTATACCAAATGAGTCTGTATATAAAATTAATATGTCTTCCAAATAATACCTTCCATTGGTGGAAGAGTTGTGATTTGTATTCAAATAATCACGGCGGATAGCCGCGTTTACTGATTAATAAAGTTTAGTGAAACCATCACTACGGAAATAACAAATTATAGGTAACTACATGAAAATTATTATTATTATTATTATTGCATCCTTTAATTCCTAGAGGAACATAGGGCTTCAGCCGTGCGTCTCCATTGCGTTCTGTTCTCTGCTAGAGTCTTCACCTGGCTCCAAGTTTGCCCACACGTTTTCATCTCCTCTTCACATGACCTCCTCCAAGTCACCCTGGCACTGACGACCAACTCGCCGCTTCCCTTTCGGGTTCCACTTGAGCAATGGCTTGTCTAGTGATGTCACTTGATGGTTTCCTCAGAGTATGGCCAGCCAATCCATCTCCATTTCCTCCTGCCTATTTGTTTCACAATTAGTTCCTGGTTGGTTCGCTCATTGCCAGAGATCTCTGTTGCTGATCTTTTCTGGCCCGCCATGTGATCTTGAGTATTGAGCGAAGACAACTGGCTGTTAATGAAAGTCTGTAGTTTGTTCGAGATGCTCTTTATGACGCGCAGTGCAAGTCTCTGATCCGTATAGTAGCACTGACTGACTTCACATTGGAGTTGAAAATCCGGATCTTATTTTCATTCTGATGATGGGTGCTGCTGACCTCCACACAGACTTGAGAGTAGTGAAAGCTTGTCTTGCTTTTCCGATTCTTGCTTTGATATCCTCGTCAGTTCCACCTGTAGTTGAAACGATGCTTCCCAGATAGGTAAAGGAGGTTGTTTCTTTCAGGTTCCTGCCATTTATGCTGATCGTTGTCAGTTGTTGTTGTTGCTGTTGATGGTGTTGCCCAGGAATTTTCATCACCTCTGTTTTATCTATGTTCACCTGAAGTCCTATCTTTGATGCTTCTTCTGCTAATTTGTTGCTTTTCGCTTGCATATCTTCCAGTTTGTGGGAAATCAGACATATATCATCGGCGAAGTCCAGATCCTCCATGAAAAAGCATTTATAATTACCACGACAATGCAAAGCAAAACAACGACTGGAACAGACAATGCATCAAATAATAAACATAGTTTCTAAATTTCAGGAAGCGTTGAAAGGCTACAGAACATTACAATAATTCACGAAATAACAGTTTATATTAAATGATAAAAGAAATTAAACAATTAACGAAATGTTTTTACTGAAAAATCCTTCGTGTAAGATAAGGATTGAGAAGCTGTATCATATACACAGGTTGTTTATGCTTTTCAGATGAAGTCCATCACAATTCATTCAGAGTTTAAGCAGACAATCAATGAAAAACAAAACAAAAGCGATTCTTTTATAAATAAAAAAGACATCTTATCTTAAAATAAGAAGATGCAGACTTACAGCCTCTGGTGTTTTTGCAGAGAATTATTTTATCTCAATCTAATCGTCAGTGTTTACTTGGTACTTATTTATTCTAATATTTTGTCTTCGATGTGATGATGTCATCTATAGACTTTAAAAAGGAACTTTATTATGAAATCACACCAGTTAAAAGTATTTCTTCAAAATTTCGGGATTTGGAGATCAATTTTGATTTCAAGGTATTCAATCACGAACAGATATGATTATTAGGATGGTTAGTAGCTAGGCAATGGAACAGCGGTTTCGTCTTCAGTGGTATGCATCTTTGACAATATCATGTGTTGAACCTACCAACGTCATGATAAGAGGAGTGAGACTTGCCACTCAGATACTATAACTAAATTCGGTGGTCCAAAAATTCTAGTTTCCATCAACTTGCGATAGAGATCTACACCTAATCAATCTTAGCGCTGGGTTTCTACCCTCAAACTCAGTAGTGTAAATCGTTTTGGTCATGGCTTTGCACTGAAACTTCAGGAAATCTATCTCAAAATTTGTTCAGCCGGTTTTCAAACTCATATTGGTTCATGATAATCGCTACCTTGAAAAGAATTTTTGAAAGTTAGGGTGACCAGATACTTCTTGAATGAAATTGTAAGACTGAAGTTAAGATGTATGCACAGTTGTTTCCATGCATACTGTTGGAGTTGTAATGTGTTTGCTTGCAACATTTTGATTTCGTTGGCTTTAATCTGCATTAAGTTATCAGTTCACAGTAATAAGCATACTAAAACTAAGTATTTAACCAATCTTCCTCCTGACTTCAATTTTAATGACTTCAGTGAGCGTCAGCTTATGAAGGAAATAATTTTCAGTATGTATGAAGCAGAACAAGCTGCAGGCAAAGGAGACCTCGCAACACTCTACCAAACAACTAGGTACCTATCGGGCAAAAGTTTGACACAAATTAAGCCGGTGAAGGATGACAATGGAAAGTCACTCACCAAAGAAGTGGAGCAAAGGAAACACTGGGCTGAACACTTCAAAAGTCTCCTAAATCGACCACCACCTACAATACGCCCAGCAATACCAACAATGGAGACAGAGCTACCAGTGAACACCAACCCCCCGATGAAATCAGAAGTCCTGAAGGCAATCAAGATGCTAAAAGCTGGAAAAGCAGCAGGACCAGGTGGAATTCCAGCAGAAGCGTTGAAAATGGACCAAGAGACAACAGCGGACTTGATGACGCCACTACTGGAGAAGGTGTGGAAAGAAGGCAAAGTACCTGGAGACTGGAAGAAAGGATACTTATTCAAATTACCAAAGAAAGGAGACTTAAGTCAATGCAAGAACTGGCGCGGAATTATTCTCCTGTCCATCCCAAGCAAAATACTAAGCCGCATCATACTGGAGAGAATCAAACATGCCAACCTGGATAAAAAACTTCGACCGGAACAGGTTGGATTCAGGAGTAACAAGTAATGTATTGATCAGATCGCCACATTACGGATCATCATTGAACAAAGCCTGGAATGGCAGCCACCTCTCTACCTCAACTTCATCGACTTTGAAAAGGCCTTCGACAGCGTCGATCGAGAGGTGATTTGGAAACTACTTCGCTACTACGGGGTGCCACCGACAATTATACATCTCATCCAACAGCTGTACGACAATGCTGCATGCCAAGTCATCCACAACGGGAAACTTACGGAATCCTTAAAAGAAGTGAGGACAAGAGTAAGACAAGGCTACCTACTATCGCCAATGATTTTCTTGATTGCATTAGATTGGATAATGCGATAAACAGCTGGCAATGAGGAAACAGGCATAAAATGAACTCACACAAAAAACTTGGAGGACTTCAGGTGAACATAGAGAAAACAGAGGTGATGAAGATTCCTGGACAACAACACCAACAACAGACAACGATCAGCATAAATGGCAGGAACCTGAAAGAAACAACCTCCTTTACCTATCTGGGAAGCATCGTTTCAACTACAGGTGGAACTGACGAGGATATCAAAGCAAGAATCGGAAAAGCAAGACAAGCTTTCACTACTCTCAAGTCTGTGTGGAGGTCAGCAGCACCCATCATCAGAATGAAAATAAGATCCGGATTTTCAACTCCAATGTGAAGTCAGTCAGTGCTACTATACGGATCAGAGACTTGCACTGCGCGTCATAAAGAGCATCTCGAACAAACTACAGACTTTCATTAACAGCCAGTTGTCTTCGCTCAATACTCAAGATCACATGGCGGGCCAGAAAAGATCAGCAACAGAGATCTCTGGCAATGAGCGAACCAACCAGGAACTAATTGTGAAACAAATAGGCAGGAGGAAATGGAGATGGATTGGCTGGCCATACTCTGAGGAAACCATCAAGTGACATCACTAGACAAGCCATTGCTCAAGTGGAACCCGAAAGGGAAGCGGCGAGTTGGTCGTCAGTGCCAGGGTGACTTGGAGGAGGTCATGTGAAGAGGAGATGAAAACGTGTGGGCAAACTTGGAGCCAGGTGAAGACTCTAGCAGAGAACAGAACGCAATGGAGACGCACGGCTGAAGCCCTATGTTCCTCTAGGAATTAAAGGAAACAATAAAAAATAATAATAATGAGAGTACAGTAAGGACAATTAGAATGCTTTAGGTTGAAAAACATGACTACCGCATGAAAGTTATCAACCCGAAAGACAGTTCCAATCAAAAACAAAAAATAACTAAAAGAACTGCTGAATATATAGTTGTTTCGTTTTAACTTTTTTCTAGCATTAGAAATGGTTTCATTCTGAAATGTTTCAATTAACTGAATGGTCACAATTAATTCTTTATTCAATAAACTGTGATCATCATTGTCAACTAGAGGTTGACCTTATTTAAGTTTTTATTCCTAATTCACTTAACTGAATTTTGATGTGAACATATTTAGCGTGTATAGGTAGATACATATACGCATATCGCTTATAAACATTTTGTGGAGGTATATAATCGTAACTATGTTTTATAGAGACTTTTGATAATCTCTAAACGTGTACAAATCTCACTAAAATTCATTAAATTAGTGTAATGACTTTTTCAAACTATTCAGTCATCTACATGTGAAGTTTTGTTTTATTATTATTGTTATTAATACTACTACTATTATTATTACTGGATACAGATAAACAAAGATCCATCTATAAGTATTCACAATTTTCACCATTATATAAGCGGAGTATAAATATAAATGCACAAACGTATGGTAGGATAGAAAATTATTCATTTTGCAAATCATTTAAATAGCACTTCTATGAAATGACTAGTTTATAAGTATTCATCTGAAAATAATCGAATAACCTATAATGCTACCACTGATTGTCTACACTTTCACAGTGTTATTTCAGTTCATCTTGACTGCTGCTGGAGAATGTCCAAAACGATGTATGTGTATGGGACAAACAATTCATTGCCAAAATGTTGGGTTTCGTGCAATACCCCGTTTGCCAAGTATTGTTCCAAGTCCAGGCGGGGGAGTTCTCCAGTACTTAACTATCGTGGAGAATTCTATAATGAGATTGGAGAAAGCCTCCTTTGAAGGACATTTAGATCTGTTACGCTTAGAGTTGTATTCAAATCAAATTGTATGGATATCTGTTGAAGCGTTCACAGGTTTACCAATGCTCAAAAGTTTAATATTACGGTCTAACCGTTTAGCCTACCTACCGCAAGATGTTTTCACGCCGATATATATGATCGAAGAACTGGATTTGTCGGATAATCAATTAAAACATATACCATTTTCAGTGGAAGGCTTAATTTATTTGAAGCGTTTATCACTAGGCGGGAATCCAATCTACTGTCCTTGTGAAATAGTTGATTTTGCACTGTCACTTATGTACATTGAACAAAAATCGTCAAGAGTTACATGCCATAATCCACCACAAGTACGTAACGTAAGGCTGTCAGATTTGGCTGATCGTCTCAGAACGCTGGTAAATCAAACACGGATTTTAGGCTATCAAACAGTGAGTGAACCAGAAAGAAGTTCAGCGATTTATTCACAGCCTTATTTATTTGAGCCAGAAATACTGCGTCGTTATTGGCCATGGCCACATTGTCCAAGAGAAGATTTTGGTGGGAAATCGCCTAAACTACTTACTAAATCAGACAGTCATTATGAAACAGAGGATCAAAATTCGAATAATTTATTAGTATCGAATCAAAATACTACACTTTATTCCGATAATAAACCACCAGTTTTAGCTGTTCATTTGCGAAACGTAAAAGTAGTGGCTGGTGAAGTGGCGAGATTTATATGTAGAGGTGAATCAGGTACCGTTGGCCAGATTAACTGGATTCTACCTAATACAGCTACACGTTTTATAAGACTTTATCGTCGACGTCAAGTAAGCCATTCATATATTTTTAAAATTATTCATATTGTTTACCGTCTTTTATAGTGGCTAAATATTTGAATTATATAACGAAAGCAGCACCACAAGTTATAGAAACAAGTCGTGGCTGTGGTTACAAGCAAACATCCATTATAATCTAATTTTAAGTCATAACTTCTTTTTCCATTAACAGATTAGACTGTGGGAATCAGTTTCTAGCCAATTACATTCACTACTAGGGAACTTATTTTTTTTTCCTTCACGTTCCCCAGTGGAACATAGGGCTTCAAGCTAGTGGCTTGAAGTTTCTGTAGCAGTGTTTAATTTTTACAGGATGAGGTTGCTAGCCTCATGCCTAACCATTCCTCTTTACCAGCATTATTTCTGACTTAGTGAGGTAAAGGAGTGCGTCGGCCGGAGATCAAACCCCGGACCATGTGCATGGTCGGCGAGCGTCCTAACCGCTATGCCACCGACGCACAGGGAACTTATTGTTGTATCTTATTGTCGCATAATAAGGAGACTTCCTGACCCTATTTTCTTCATTAATATAGGATTCTGAAAAAATTCGAAAATGTAGTACAACTACTTCTACCTTTCAGGTTTATTTGGTAGGTGATATTCTGCAACAGAGTACAAAAATTGCATTTTATTCTACTTGGGACTCATCAGAAAGAAATTGTAATTCTGGATTCCTGTATAAAATACTTCAAATCTAAGTTAGTGAATGCCACCCCAGGAGTCCATATGCCACTAAAGAGCGAGTTATTTCGTTTATTAAAAATGCAGCATGAGATAATAACTATTAATAGTATCAGTCTTTTAATATATTTATGCGTTGAAGTTTCTGTAGCAATTTGGTTAAGTTTTGGGGGTGGAGTTACTAACACCACGTCCCAACCCTCCCTCTTTATCCGGGCTTGGGACCGGCTAGAAAACTAGCGAGCTAGTAATCTAAGTGAGTGGGTGACATCGCGCGTCAGGCCCTTGAGTGGAACCCGAAAGGGAAGTGGCGAGTGGGATGTTCAAGGTTGACATGGAGGATATCGTGTGAAGAAGAGTTGAAACAGCATGAACTAACATGGATGCAAGTGAAAAGTATAGCAGAAGACAGAAGCAACTGGAGACGTGCAGTTGAAGCACAGTTGAAACCCAAGGGAACAATAATAATATATAATAATAGTATTAGCCAATATAATTCATTTATTAATTTGAAAAGTGACGGTTTACATCTCAATAAACTAACTTTTGTCAATGCATGATATAGCACCCATGTAAGGTCCTGTGGAGGCACGTTACCGTTCCACACTCAGTGGTTGACATTTTTCAACTGTTGTTAATTCGCACTTGAAAACACGTATACATTTTAAATTAATAAGGTGGTCATATGCACCCCTTCATTCCGCTTCGTTATACAATCACAAACCGGTTTATTTGCCTTGAAGCAAGAGGCCAGAAAAATTCTGTTCTCAATACTTAGTTCATTCTAGTCAAAAATAGCTGTTGTTGTTTTGGTAATTTCCTTCCTAATAGAGCTAGTAGATAAATGAACAGCTGATTAGCGATGAAAAGTCGGCTCATTTAAAGTGATACTTGTTTATCTTTTTATAAAACTGATTCATTTTGATGACTGTAGAGTTTCCACAATGCATAACCTGTTGAAATTATCCACCGCTGGGTACTTTTTAGAATTTTTGGTGTTAATCTAGTAATAATAATACTCATTTGAAGACAAGAACTTTTTAAAATTTAAATGATGGGTTTATGGTACGCTCTAAGATAGTAAAACGTATAACCGAATCAAACATTACCAACTTCAGGAGGTGTAGAGCCTTCTTCTAAGCTAAGTACGAGCCTCACCACTTAACCTAACTAGAATCATATCACTTACAAATATGACACTTAAATCAAACAAAATTGTTACTGAATCATCACTTGTAATGCCACAGTTGCACTACTACAAAATTTTCAACCTCGACAGTAACACAACGTTGTTCATGGTCTAGAGACTGATTTACATCGATATGTCTACTTTTCAGAATAGTTAAGTACCGAAATCTTATACTAAAACTCTCAGGCTATAACTTTTCAGTTAATTTAGCCTACTTACGTTTGTTACGTTATTTATTCTCGACTTTCGCATTGGCTTCTAGACTATTTCTCACATTACGAAGAACGTCTTCCAGAACATTATTATCAACATATGGCTAGTTTTTTTAATTGTCTTTCGAATATATATATATATAAATAAAACTACACCTTTCTATAAAGATTAGAGGACTTAGTAAAAAGTAGTTTTTTCTCAAACCAATGTACAGTGGAAATATACCTAAATTCCCTACTTTTTTGAAGACTCCAATCCTTCCTTTCGTTTTAACTACAGAATTTGGATAAATTGTTTTTAAATATCTTTCTCTATAACGAGATACCCTAACATATGTACACTTCAAATTGATGAATTACGAAACCAGCAGAATCAAATCAGTAATTAATGCATTTAACCAGGAATATACTTAAAAGTTATAATAGGGACTGTTGTTCGGATACGGAGGTGGCACTTAAGATAAAAATATTTATTACTAAGGTTCATCGTGAGCGCACTGTTTGTTCTGAAAGTTAGTAGACCGAAATAAAAATGAAGACTATGAAGATGATAATTGGTTTATCATAAAGTATAGATTCTGAGTGAAGCCGCAAGTACTAGCGAGAGTTTAAGTCTTTAGTTAAACTGTAAAATGACTACCAAATGTTTTGTTGGTTAGCAGAAGCTGGTTGAATTTCATAGCTGCTAGTCAAAATGATATGAATAAATGGCTTTCGCAAAAACCCTATAGTCAGTAACATTTTATTCGCAGTATAATCACACTTTCTTTATTATCTCTGTAGACTTTTATTGTTTTGCTTGTTTTCTGTCTTTCCTCTAAAAGATTCTTGAAATAACCGAAGTCCACGATTATCATGAAGGGAGTTATACTTGTGTTCTGTCTAACGCTTACGGTGTTGTTACATCAGAAGCCATTCTGCAACTAATTCAACCAGTTAAACCAACAATAATTGAGGCTCCTCCGGCAGATGATAACTCCGTTGCAGAACATTCAATTCTTGACTTACGTTGCACAGCGAAAGGTTCACCAAAACCTACTATTTCTTGGGTATGGCAAAAGGAAACGCTACCACTACAGCTAGTCACCGGTGGTCGATATATTGTACGAAGTCATAGTACAGAGATCAGCACACTCCAGTTTCAGTTTCAAAAGGATTTGAGTATTTATTCAACTGATCAGTATATACTGGCAGAAAATGAAAACACAGAAACAATGAGTGTATTACTTGTCAGAAATGTAACTTCAGAGGATGCCCACGGTAAATATAAGTGTTATGTGGCAAATAGAGTGGGATCAGCTCGTGTTTCGACAGTGATTAATGTTATTACCGAGAACAGTAATCGTGAATGGTCCGTTCCTCAAGAGAATAATGAAGACACTGTGAATCGTGATACAAAGAATATGACATCAGATTATGAATCAGTCGATGGTGACGAACTTGTTAAACACATTATCGAAAAAGCACGTAAACGTATTGAGGCAGCAATCAAGAAGACAGCTGATCGTCTACGAGATACAGGAAGGAGAAGGTCATCAGCAGATATTGCTTCTCTTTTTCGACAACCGAATCGTGCTGCTCTGGAACTAGCTAAAGCAGCTGAAGTATATGAGGCAGCAATCGACGAGGTAACTAGTATCCTACGCCAAAGAAATCAAAAACAATTCGAGTTTAGCAAAACTGATATGATGCCGGATGAGTTTAAAGAAATCGATGATGAAATTGATCCAAATTCACGTGACACATTAGGAGTAGAACTGAATTCAGACCAGTTGGCTATAATTGCTCAATTGTCAGGTTGTCAAAGTGCACAGCAAGTAGATCCATGTTCGAGGCAGTTATGTTTTCATTTACGCTACCGTTCAATTGATGGAACATGTAATAATTTGAATCATCCACGATGGGGTGCTGCATTAGTTCCATTCAGACGACTGTTACCACCAAAATATGAGAATGGCATGAATACACCAATTGGATGGTCGTCGACAAGGCTATATTTTGGTTACCCAAAGCCTTCGGCAAGATTAGTATCCCGTGAATTGTTGGGTAATGCATCTTTAATGATGAGACAGAGTAAAATGTAAGTTAAACTTCATCTACTTCATGAACTGTTTTGAATGCATTTGAATCTAGTTTAAATGGAAAAAATTAAGCAGCAAGGTGATTTCAGATAACCAGATGATAAATACTTGTAATTGAAAACAAATAATAATTCGTGATCTTCAGTTTCCTAATGACTGACTTGACTGTGGGATCTGATAGATTCCGCTTAACACGTAGTAGATAACGAATGGTGGAAGGCGAAGTTCACTGAATAGTCATGCACCAAAATTTTTTATTATTCCGAGTAATTTAGAAATATTTCGATTGATGACAAGTAAAGGTACCATTATCACTATTTTTAAGCATAATGCATAAGAGATTTGATGATGTAATGACGAGGTAGACTGCAACGTAAATAGTCCTGAAAATTTGTTTTCATTTAGTAAATACTGACTCCAGCACAAATGACAGAATAATATTCGCGCTAGTTAACAAAGTAAATGCGTGTTAAATAAAAATATGGAAAGTCTACGACACAATGATTAAAATAAACACCATTAAACCATTGTCAAAAGGTCTCAAACCAAAATTAAAAATTAGTTTTCCTAATGATTAGCGGTGGTCTTCTAAATGATACCAAACCGTGAATAAAATAATTCTAAAGTTAGCGAGGCATTCAGTGGTTATTCAGAGTTTTAAAATAAGTTAAAAGGTTAGTGTGAAACTCCAGCAAGTTCCTAATCATATTATCTAATATGCAATGTAATTATGATGATGTTACTTAATTTAGGCTTATAAGTATAACTGTATTTTCTGCTGTCCAGAAGTAACAGTCAGCCAGTACCTAGTCATTCACATCATAAATTATTCATTAGCATGAGTAGTCAGAAGCCACTCGTCGACCTATAACTGTTATCATCCAAACAGAGGCAGTCAAAATGTCAGTTAGTGATTTTACCTGTTTGACGCCGAGGCTATTAATATTATGCCCATTTTGGTTTAGCCTAGAGAAGTGAATGATTATAATTCATCAGCATTCTATCAGTCTGCTTGGAAGAACTAGTAATACTAGAAGAAGTTACATTTGTATCATGTATACTTCAAATTGAAGTATGCGCTGAAGATGTTGCCTAGTGGGGCAATGAAAGCTTCATAAGTAAACTGTCCAGCTCAGAGAACTTGACTTTATTAAATCAATCATCAGTTGATTCACCTAATTTTATAGTAATATGAAAAGTTTGTTTCCTGTCATAATCTAGTGCTTAGATTATTTAAACATTTCAGATATGAATGGAATTAATGAAATCTGTGTTAACTGATTCATAGCTTAAGAAAGAATATATTGTTGATTCATGGTACCGATAATAAAAGACACGTCTTTTGCTATAATTGTACAAAGAGAGAGTTTTACAAGTGAGTACCTTTCTGAAAACTCAAATGAACAAAACAAAAAAACACGTGACGATTTCGTTCTCTCCTGTGACGTATAGGAATAGTTTTGTAACATGGTACCATTTAAATGTATTAGGTTATATGCAATAAATAGGGAACAATTTATTATACACTTTGAAAACAGTAATGCCTCTCTAGACAGTATTGATTTTGACCTAAAACATTTCTAAATAATTAGTCCATCAGTGAATTCCCTTTCTTTCTAATGCAATTAATTATACAGAGAAAATATTTCAAAAAAACATTCTGTATAGCAAGACTCAGTGAATTAATGCAATTTTAATCTTCCTAAATGAGAATCTGGAGTACAGAACCACATTTAGTCACACCTCATCTAGCCATATTTAGTCACAAATGTCACCAGGGCTGCTCTATTCAGTTTTGCGAATCACTAACGATTAAGACTGTAATTTCAAATGGAAGATTAAAATCAGATTCAGTAAGATGATTGCGGATTGGGATTTCATTGTGAAAGTCAATACTGATAAGTGTTGAACTGTGTAAAGTGCTATCGAGTTCAGAACAGAATAAATTAAATATCACAGATTTTCATGCTATTCATAATCAAGCATACAATCGAGATTAGATTTATAATTTGATAGGAAAAACTTTTCTTCCTTGTTCACTGACAAATTGATGGTTGTTTTCGGAAAAGCTTTCCCTGTACAGGATGCTGTCAGTCATTGTCTTATCTGATTTTTATTTGAGAAACACGTAAAACAAGATATCTTTATCACTGTTGTTTTTATTTCCCCCGATAGGTTGGAACAAATTGTATTAGAACATATAGCATAATCTAAAACACTGACCTGTATACATGACTTCCTATTTGTCTGAAATTGTGCATCTATCTTCTACATTGAATTAAGTCAGGAAGAACATAGTTCTCTTCCATTTCGTCAATACCTCACTTCATTTCATCTTGTGCCAGCCAGTCGCTTAAGAAAACCTTTAAGTTTCAGCAGTATATACAAAAATTCACTGCTTTACTAGATGCATTTATCCTCACCAATCACTTTTCACCTTTTCTTGACGCTAACATTTATGTTACATTG